ACAAGTTTAGAAAGGAAGATTTGAATATCATAGATATGTATACATGTTTAGAAGAGACAATCTAATAACATTTAAAACATACATACTTTGTAGCAAATAAAACATTAAATATACATACTACTATACTGGATAAAAATACAATCAGATTTTCTTCTTTTTTAATCCTGTTTTATTTTTATGTGAAAAAACAACCCAGATCCTATGCCTATCTTTTCTTTTGGGGTTTGACACGATAGGGAGCTAAAATTCGAGTGGAAACATCAGTGTTTCTTCTTGGATCTTTGAATGCATTAATCATTTTTGTTTATGAACATACCACTCATTTCATTTCAAAACTCACGATACCAAGAGGTTACAATAGGCGTATTCAGTATTTCTCAGTGCAGCCCTTTGCTAACGAATCAGCCATATTGTTTTTTGAGTCAAAGTAAGAGAAACTTGAGCTTAGCTTGAATATGTCCTGCAGAATTCCATATATTTCTCTAGCTGAGTCTTTAACGTTAATTAACCTGAGAGTCCATTAATGATTATGATCCTTTGATTTAAAGCTTTTATTTCTCGGACAGGTTAATTAAACTTAAGCTTTTTCTTAAAGTTAACATGTCCGACAGTAATCATATATTTCTCGGATTCAATAGAAACATAAGTTTTTTTTTTTTTAAATTTCCAAAAACGATTGCATTCTTATATATGTATATATTCATATGTATTGAAAGAGTTTAATTTGATGTTTTCAGAATTTATAAATATCTCACCAGTCTAAGCCACAAGCTAGTGAAAAATTAGATTCAAGAGGTGAGGCAAATGATGAGCTATAATTTTATAAGGGTAAAGAGGATACTTAAATATAGAGAATATGAGCGGTTCTGAAACTCTTTTTTTTTTTGGGGGGGCAATTCTTAATGTCATTAAACTAACATTCGAAGATATATTGAGAAGAGGGAATAACATCCTTTTTGCTTGCTACAAATAAACCAATACGATAGAGAAAACAGATACATCTTTATAGAAGACTGACATCAAATTGGAGACTGTCTGAAACTAATACTAAATATCCTATTTGAAATAAACAAATGAAAAAACAAATTTCTCAATATATGAAATCATATCTTAAAGTGTAAAAGAAGAACAAAAAAGTTAGCTAAAGAACTCAAATTCCTAACGAAATACAATGTTTATTAGTACTTTTTCCCGATATCTTTCTCACCACAATATATTTCTCTTTTATCATATATAATCATTATCATGATGTCCTTTTTTATTTTTAAAGTGCAGTGATTAATACAAAAGTATTACATGACCGATCTCGGTAAAACGTCAAGTAAAACCTAGTGGATTTTTGGGGTCAAATTAATCCTGACAAGATTGGAGCATTAAAACTCTTTTGGTTTCGTTATATTATATAAGTCTTAAATGTGTGACTGTGTTTGAGCAAATACGTGAGAGTTGTGACTTGTTCTTGTTACTGCTAAAGTTTTGAACCTGTGGAAAAATAAGACTACACTTTATGGAAATAATTTTGGGGCAATTACAAAAATACCACTTTTTGTGTGTACATTTGCAAGAATGCCACTTAGGGGTGTCCATTTA